TGATTTTCTAAAGATTCTATATAATTGCCCAAAATTCTACAGACCAACATCTTCATTCACAATTCTTTACGAAGCCTATTCTTAGAAAATGTCTGTTTTGCAGCCTGCTCTCCCACAACTAACATTTTGTTAGAACAGGGGTTTGTTCTGGAGTTACAGCAGGTGACAGTGTCACTACATGTGTTGCCACATAGCCCAGACCGCCATCCTTCTGGCCTCTGAACTCTCACTGGCCTCTGAACTTTAAGCCAATCCCACTTCTTATAAGACTGATACTATTCAAGATATCCTTCGTTTCTGCTATAGTCACAAACCACACAAATCCTCCAGGGCTTGACACTGTAAAGTGTATTTCTCATTCATGCCACCACTCTAATTCATCATCTACTTGGTCACTCAGCAACCCGTGGTGACTGACTCTCTACTGTGTTGTAGCTGTACCACGATACCTTCTCAGTTGCTATAACAGAGGAAGAAAAGGTTTAGCAAATTCCTTCTTCACCCTGAATGCCTCATTCCCAGTGTGACCCAGTACTTTCATGTTTTGTTAGCCACAGCTAGCCAGATGGTCCATTTATCTGCAAAGATTATAGATCTTTGTACTATAGGTAGAAAGTTTAATGAGCACCAGTCTCTGCCTCATTATCCACTTTAACTCTCACTGCAATTCTCCAAAGAATGTGTCCTTATCCCCCTCTGCAGATAAGAGACTGAGTCAGAGAAGCTGCCTAATCCAAGGACACAACTAGCAAATGAAGATGCAAGATGGAGATTCCAAAAGGACAGGACCAGACAGAGAAACTGCAATCAGAACATAGAACCGCACCTTTTAGATAACTCTAAACGTCTTCATTTACCTCAAGATTGTTGATTGACTCCCCGAAGTTCTCCTCCCAACATTCTGTGATTTTGCACAATTCACAGCTTTAGTATTAGAGAGTTTCTTAAAGTGAAAACTAAAAACACCACTTGCAACTCCCTTTATCTGTCGGGAATTGAAGAAAGAGGACCGCTAATTCCTAACGCCCATCCAGCCCTGGCACTTGTACCCCATCCTAAAGCTGGTGTGAGACTGGTTTAGAACGCGAGATGCCAGTGCTCCTGTAGACGCCATGTGTTTTCCACACGCTATGTGGCTGTATCACGACAAAAGTGACCCCTACTATCAGTGCTTCTTGGAATTCACTAGAAATTCTCAGAACAGTATATACCAGAACAAGACACCTAAGAGAGAGTCTGCGATCAATGACCCTACAAGCAGCATGATAAGCAGACTGAGCAAAAAACCCCTGAAATTCCTACTGAATCCTTTTGTTCTTACTCCATACACAATGTCCACCCTGGGATAAGGAACCTACTGCGTTATTAATAGCAGCCTCCTCCTACTGGCTGCCCCCTCCCTCCCTTACCTTCTTACAACCTGTTCTCTACTCTGCAACCAGAATGACTCTTGGCAACACAGGCTAGAGTAGACTGTTCTGAGGACACCCTCCCCCCCCAGCAGATTTCCCTTTTTTGCAAAATGCAGCCCACCCCCTCCATCATCTGGCCAAGGCTCCTCTCTCACCTCATGCACCACTGCCCCACTTGCTCACTGCTCCCCAACCAGTAAAAAGCACCAGCTTTCTTACTACTCCATAAACACTCCTAGCCTGCTGCTGCCTCCAGCTGCTGTCCTTGCCCTTCGCTGCTGAACCAGGCTGAAGCTGGGAGGCAGAAACTGAATCTTGGTCTCTCACATGGGTGTCAGGAACCCAATTACTTGACCGTTCACTGCTGCTTCCTCGGGTCACATTTGCTGGAGTCAGGAACTGGAGACAGTTACTAAATCCAGGCACTCTAATAAGGGAAGGAATGTCCTATCTGCTAGGCTAAATGCTTGCTCCAATCATCCCTCTTCTAATTCAAGTGGAAGTCACAAGGTTACAAATATGTTGTAAATACCTGGAACTAAGTCTTGTCTGAGTTCATTTGGAAAATTGATAGAATGTGCCTACCAGAAGCTTCTTGTCACAGGGGCGCTGAAGAATGTTAACAGAACAAAAGTCTACAAAGGACCTGGGACAGGTCCAGCCTATGTATAGAGACAGACCTCTCAGCCTTCATACCAATGAGAGAAGAAACCAGGCCCAGGGTTCCTAGGCCTGTTAGGAAGCCAAACTGTGGGAGGGAAGGGACAGTGAGCTCAGAGGCACACAGCACTCTGCTGGGGGACCCCTTCAACAAAGAAGAGCACAGAACCCAAGAACAGAGCTAGGCATTCTGTCCCAGTTCTCATCACTACATAACCAGCCATCCCAAACCACAGGTGTAAAACAACAGGTGTCACCTTCCGTCTCACAATCCTGAGGGTCAGGACTTCGGAGGGGCAGCAGCATGAAGGGCTGGTCTCTGCTCCACAAGGTCTGTGGCCTGAGCTAGGAAGAAGAGGGATGAGCCGAGAAGTCAGGGATGGGATAATCCAGAGGCTTCCTCACTCACTTGTCAGGCTGGAACGCCTTGAAGGCCGGACTCAGAAGGGACGATTGGCCAGAACACCTACACGTGTCCTCCCCTGCTGGCCTGGACTCCTTCCTGGCGACTGGGTGTTGACAGCACATCTCAAGGGGAGCAGCTGAGTGTGGACTTCCAAGAAAGGCAGATGGCATGCAGGGTGTTTGGTGTCCTCCCTCAGACGCCACATGACATCAGTTCTGCAGTGCTGTGTTGGTCAAAGTGATGACAGACCCACCCAAATTCTAGGAGAGGGCCACAGACCCATCACGCTGATGGAAGGAACATCAGAAAACTTGAAACCATAGTTAAAAAACATCCCATTTCCTTCCCTATTTGGCAATGCTATCTCAAGGGCATGTGATTGCTGACGTGGTGGAGCCCAGCATGAGTCTGGGTAGCTTATCAGCACCAATGAGATGCCCTTGGGAATACCCGGAAACACTGAGGGGTAACTCACAGGGAGCTAAGATTCTAGGTGAACAGCAAGAACAAAAGCTAGAGGAGCTAGCATATTCTTTAAAATAGAGTTCCATTGGTAAGCACAGGCTAGAGAAATTGAGGCAGAGTCAGGAAACGCACAGGGACTGTAAAACACAGCAACTAAAGCACCACTTCAGGCAGGGCTGCCCAATTCTGGATGGCTGCAGATTGCAAACTACAGGAGCTATTTTGTTCTGCCAAAATAAGGAAACAAGCTGTGCTTTTCAAGCCAACGTTTAAGCCAGACTTGAGTCTCATAAAAAGAATTGCAAGCACGATGTTCTTCAAAACGCCAGCCGTGAATGCTCATGGGAATGCAAACTTCGTGTGCAGAAGTGGGGAACGACTTGACGTTAGGAATTACTCCCCTCACATCTTTAAAAATAAAATAAACCAAACAACATGTATTTTTACCAAGCACTTGATGATTCTGAAAGATGAGAAAGAATTGTAGTCAAAAAGGAGGAAATGGAAGGTCTTCCACAAAGAATACATATCTGCCCCATGATTTATGGTGAATGCAAATCACCCAATCGCAGTCTATTGGCATTGGCTGCCAATTCACCTAATTAAATGGTTATACCAGCCTCAGAATGCCATGCCTGCTGCCAGCTGACCCTCTTCCCTCAACACAGAGTTCAGGAGAACAGGACACTTGAGAAAGACAGATCACTTTTAATCTAGAGGAAAATAGGGATTTTTACATGAAGGAAGAGCCAGGTGACAGGGCTTTCCCTTGCTTGCTTTGCACTGTGAAAGCCTCTTGGACTACATGCATGAGAAACTTAAGTACCTCTGCTGAAAAAAAAAGTTACAGGGCAGTCAGCCTTGTCACTTTTTCATTGTCACTGCAGCTAAATTTTGAAAGAAATCTACGTCACTGTTCACGCTGAGGGTTTTTTGTTTTGCTTTGTTAACTTTCGGAGCTCAGAATTTCCTAAGATCACTTTTGCTACTGAAGTCTTGACTCTTGAGTCACACAATGCCTCCTGAATTTTCTCTGGGCACTGGAGTCGTGCCACCATGATTAGACTCATGAGGTCTTAGATGATTTATTCATTTGAAAAACAGAGTGACAGAGAGTGAGAAACAAAGAGATCATTCATCTGCTGGTTGATTCTCCCAAATGGCCAAATACCTAGAACTACACCAGAGAGTCAGCACTGTGGCGTAGCAGGTAAAGCCTCCACCTGCAGTGCAGGCATCCCATATGGGCACCAGTTCGAGACCTGGTTGCTCCACTTCCGATGCAGCTCTCTGCTGTGGCCTGGGAAAGCAGTGGAGGATGGCCCAAGTCCTTGGGCCCCTGCACCCACATGGGAGACCAGGAAGAAGCTCCTGGCTCCTGGCTTCACACCGGCACAGCTCCCACCATTGAGGCCAACTGGGGAGTGAACCAAAGAGGGAAGACCTCTCTCTCTCTCTCTCTCTCTCTCTCTTTCTCCTTCTCTCTTTGTGTAACTCTTTCAAATAAATAAATCTTATTTTAAAGGGGGGGAGACTACACCAGGCAGAGGTCAGGAGCCTAGAACTCCATCCCTGTCCCCACATGGGTGGCAGGGACCCAAGCACTTGGAGCATCCTCTGCTGCCTTCCCAAGCACATTAGCAGGGATCTGAAGCAGAGAAGTCCGGATTCCAATCAGCACTCAGATTTGGGATAAGAGTGTCTCATAGGGCAGCTTAACCCACTGTGCCACAACATGGGTCCCCCACTAGGTGAAATTTTAATGACAAATGTAACGCTGGCTTAGCTCCCTTTTAGAGTCTTAGCTCTTGGACAGTCTTCTAAATAAACAATCAAAAATAATAAGCAGTTCACGCTAATATTGATCCCTTCCAAAATTTAACTTTATGTGTTCAACTAATGCATTTTTTAGTACCTGTTATACAGGAGGTGCGTTTTTGGGTCCTAGACATGAAGTATTAGGTAAGAAGACAAGGTCACCCTGTTCTTCTGAAGCTAGCCTTCAAAGAAAATATCAGATGATGATAAAAGCTATGGGGAAAATTAAAATAGGACAGTGCAATGAAAAGGCAAGAGAAAGCCCCTCTGAGCAGCCCACAGAATGGCAAGAAATCACAGCTCAGGGGTTGAGGAGCCATTAGAAGGAAGTGCATTCCAGGCAGGCAGGACAACTAGGTCAACACTCCAAAGTCAGAACTGACCTTGACCTTCTTAAAGAGCAGGAGGAGGGCTCGTGAGGCTGTGTGTAGTGGTCAGTGTGAAGCACAGAAGATGGGGGAGGAAGCAGGCAGGGAGTGTAGTGAAACATTCAGATATTACCTTCAGCAGGGGAGAGGTTCCGGAAGTTAAGTGGCAAAGGGCTGGGAAAGGGTCAGGAGTAGAAGCAGGACCCCAGGGCAGAGGCCATTCCCCTCCTGGACTGAGATGGTGGCAGAGGAGGCAGAGAAGCAGAGCCCAGTGGGAAAGTGAACTGAAGCTCCTGCAGACAAGACGTGCTATTGTGCCACCTGGCTTCTGCCTTCTTCCTGTGTCTTACTCAACACAGCCAAACTGATTTCAATTCTACAAATAAAAAAAAAAAAAAAAAAAACACTCAGGTTTTCAAGATTGTAATGGACTAACTACAGGATACACAGTAAGTTGTGAATCCAAGGCTTGCACAAATCCTTTCACCATCTGGCCCCCCATATTGTTTTCCAGAGATATTTGCTCTAATGATTATAACAGTGTCTTTACTTTTATTGACTGCTTTCTCTTTGCCAGACACTGCAGCAATACATGGCATATCAGGCTACTTCAAAAAGTCCATGGGCAATGGAATTAAAACATAAATTTTGGTGCAAAAAAAATTAAAATCCTTGAATACAATAAATGTTCAAAAAGTTCATGGAATGTATATTATGAAAAAATTTGGGAAGTGATTTTTTTCATCATTGTACCAAAATACACTTACCTTACATTCCATTTTCCATGAACTTTTTGAAGTTCCCTTGTGTATCACTTATCTTAATTCTATCATATACATAACAGTATTACTACCCTTATTATTGCAGACCTCTAAATGTAAATCTCATAGAGTTTAAGTAAACTTCCATAGTTTTCACAGCTCTTAAATGCTGGAACTTGACTTCTAGCCAAGGCAAACTCACTCTGAAACCTATTTTCTCAGTTATAGTACTAATCCATCATAGACAGAATAAGAACATTCTATTGGAAACTCCACTTGACACCTTCCATAATATAAATATCTTAAAATAATTATAAATATCCCTGTTGTCCCAGACCTTTAACGACTCCATTCTAGGAAACAAATATACAAAGGTTCTGGATGTTTTCCTTTTCACTCATGACATCAATTGAGGAGTTCATTTCCCAGCTTCTCTTTATAGCCTCTGAAAAATGCCCAAACGTGAGATCTGATGATCTGCTCTTTACCCATTGGATCCCTAGCAACAGCCGTCTATAGCCACCAGTCGCCAGAGAAGAGTCGGACATCAGGGCTGCCGGCAGGGCTGGCTCTGTCACTTGCCCAGAAAATGCAAAGCACTCGTTACGGAGTCAGCACTTCATGATCTCCTATCATTTAACTAAAGATTATCCTTTTAAAACATCAAATTCAGAATGCTTTCTGATTAAAATTGCTTTTAGTTGCACAAATCCTGTGTCTGCTCTTTGAATGTATTCCATTAAATTACATCCCATTTAGAGGTAAAAGAGACATCAGGGACTTTGCAGTCTGATGGTCTCAAGTTATATGAGTAGACAGGAGCAGCGAGTTCCACAAAGTTAATGATAAAGTCAGCGCGTGGCCCTGGCCACACTGACATTTTGCCCTCCCTCTTCACGTGCTACTTTTACAGCCATATTAACATCTTTCCTCTCTGTTAAAGAAGGCTGTGACCTGGGAAGGCAGTGGAGGATGGCCCAAGTCCTTTGCCCCTGCACCCCCATGGGAGACCCAGAAGAAGCTCTTGGCTCCTGCTTTGGATCCATGCAGCTCTGTCTGTTGCAGCCAATTGGGGAGTGAACCAGCAGATGGAAAATCTCTCTCTCTCTCTCTCTCTCTCTCTCTCTCTCTCTCTCTGCCTCTCCTTCCCTCTCTGTGTAACTCTTTCAAATAAATAAATAAATCTTAACAAAAAAAAAGAAATTGTTGTGCCCACTCTCTGAGATCAGACACATAGGCTAAAGAAAACACTGATATCAAACAAACAAACAAAAAAACCTTTGTATAAATATGTCATAAAGAAAGCAATTGGCGAGGTTTTGTGGAAGAGGGGGATTGTATCAGTCTGGCTTGAATCAGGGAATCAGGAGAAAACCCACATAGTAAATATAAGTTTAACATGAAGAATTATTAAGCTCTGGCATGAGAATAACTATAAAATGTAAAGGGGCCAGGTGCTTGGGCTAGCAGTTAAGATACTGGGTGAAAGTCATACATTCCACATCAGAGTGCCCAAGTTCAATACCTGCCTCTGGCTCCTGACTCCAGTGTCCAGCTAATGCAGACCCTGGGAGGCAGTGAGTGCTAGCTCAAGTGATTGGGTTCCTGCCACCCACGTGGGAGACCAGGATTGAGTTCCCAGATCCCAGCTTGCACACTAGCCAGCCTTATCCTAACTTCAGCAATTGCAGGCAGTTGCAGAGTGACCCAGAGGATGGGAGTGCTCACCCATTCTCTGTCTTTCAAAGAAATAAAATTAAATAAATAAATAAATTTTAAACATGTGAAGAAAATTCGAAGATACCTTGGACCAAGGGAAGATGACATTCCCCAAGGCTGAGGTTCAGATCTCACCAAAGGTATGCTTGCAGCTTATTGGATGGTGCAGAAGTCTTCTGGGTTGCCATACCAGGGCTGGTCCAGAGTCGTTGGGCAAGCAGGACCAGCTCCTCCGGGCACAGGTGAGCCGTGGATGGCAAGTAGGTCTGCAGGGAGAAGTGGGATACCACTGCAGGTGTATGGCATAGAGCACATGGTGTACACGTAAGGAGAGACATGAGAAGCAAACCTGGGCAGAAGCCAGCTGAGGATGGTCAAGGGACACAGGGGAGGTATCAGGTATGTGCAGGAACCAGGCCAGGAGCATGTAATGTCCTTGTCAGGATAAGGTGGTCTCTGGACCAGGCAGGGGCTGCAAAGTTGCTAAGAGGTTGTCTACCCTGGTACATGGCAAGGGGAGAGCACCACCAAACACCCCGCCTCACGTGCACCGCTGACTGATCATAGCAGGAGCAGAAGTAACTACTGCACCCGGGACAAGGAAGAAAAGTCCATTCTCCTGCCATTTCCCCTCAACCTCTCTAGTAACAAAGTGTAACATCAAGTTCATGAGGAAGATAAATGCTCTAATTATCTGGCCTGTGACCACAGGACAAATACTGAAGAGAGACAAGAAACTAGCAGCAGGCAGAAGAATCCAGTAGTCAGCAAATAGAAGACACTGGGTCTACGTTAGTGTCCTCTAGTTCTCCTTATCCCTTCTGTAAAATGAAGATGGTAACAGAATCTACCTCTTATGTGTTGTGAATACCAAGATAGCATGGCTTCCTAGAACTCCGATGATAAGAATTCAAAAAATGTTTGCTATTATCATGTCATTACTCGGCCCAACATATCTGTAACCAGAAGATCCAAGTTCTGTGTCCAGGTGCTATCAAGAGCAGTCACTCTTCCCTGAGCCTTCATCTTTGCAGCTGTAAAGAGGCCCTTTCCCCTCTGAACCTCCTGTGAGCCCATTTCCCATGCCCTCATCTATGCTTTGCCTCCACACCAGAGAAACCCATTTGGGGATGTGCAGTGAGCCTAAAGCCAAAGCTACAGGACACAGAAACAGCAAGGCGAGTTGATACACTGAGAAACATTGATGACATTTACCAGACGAAAATAACAATTCAACATCCGGGTCTTTCAAAATCCATGCATTTAGAAAATTGTCTTTGCACAGGTTTTTAGACACTTCTACTGAGATTTTTTTCTTCTTTTTCAGAATTCACCATGATTGGAAGCAACAGTAAAAAGTAGGAGCCAACTTATCTAGGTTTGTAGATTGGATGATCTCTTAAGAAAGATAAGAGAGACATGAAGAATGTTCTCTTGTCTTAAAATTATTATCCTCCATCAATCTCCCCCCTCCACAAACACCCACACACACACTGTCCTAGAGAATTGCTCTATATTGAACTGCAGGTTGCATGGGAAGAAGACTGCATTTTGTTATAACTTGTCCTGTAAACATCCATGGGACTTATCTTACCAAATTCCTTCTAAAAGACCCACACTCCAAGAGCACAGTTGGGTGCAGGTGGCTGAGAATAGCTCTGGTCACCAGGAAGAGAGGCAGGAACAACGTAAGGGCAGCCAGAAGAGCCTGCAAAACTGGACAGGTTTCCCCCAAACCATCTCAGCAGGGAGATGTCCTGAATATAGAGGCCCACCAAGATCTCCCTGCCTGGCCACAACAAGCATCGAAGCTTCCATTAATTTTATTCCTTGGGTTAGAAAAATTTTTCCAAAATTACCAAATTATCAGAACCATCCATCCAGAGGGTTTGTGAAGAACACAGCCTGAACATCGTGAATCAGATGCTGCATGGGAGCCTCTTTGGAAGGGAATCAGGGGTCAGTGAGGCCCTCAGCCTGGTTTGGAAGTCTCCAGGAGCTGCTTAAAATCCGGTTAACAGTAGGAAACAGGAGGTGGCATTCTGATCATAATTCCCACTGGACGAGCTGCATATAAACAGATTTCTGGGAGTGGGTGCTCAGTGTAGTGGCTGAGACTCCATTTGGAGTCCGCATGCCATACTGAAGTACCTGGGTTTAAGTCCTAATTCCACTCCAAATTCTAGCTTCTTGATAATGTATTCCCTGGAAGGCAGCAAGTGATGGTTCAAGAACTTTGGGCCCCAATCATCCACACAGAAGACCTGGATTGCCCAGCCTTGGCTATTGCAGACACTTGGAGAGTGAACCAGCAAGTGGGAGATTTCTTTCCTTCTTTTGCTTCCTTTCTTTATCTCTTCTTTTTTTTTCTTTCTTTCTCTCTTTCTCTTTCTTTCTCTCTTCCTTTCTTTCTCTCTTTTTCTTTCTTTCTCTTTCTTTCTCTCTTTCTCACTCTCTTGCTCTCTCCCCTTTTCTGTCCTCTCCCCCTCTCTCCCTATTAAATAAACACACACACAGGTTTCTGGGTCACAGAACTATTGGGTGGGACATGCAGGGCCTCTCAAGAAAGCCAGATTATAGTCAAGGCCTTACTCAGTTCAGGCTGCCATAACTAAATGGCATTTACTGGCTGGCTCAAACAACAGGAACTTATGTCTTACAGTTCACAGTTTGAAGTTCAAGATGAAGGTGCCAGCAAAGTAGGTTTCATTCTGGGACTCTCTCTCATGGCCAATTGGCAGCTACCACCTCACTGGGTGCTTAGATGGCTATTCTTTGTTTCTCTGTAGGGGGTGGAGATGGTTGGGTTCTCCCTGGTGTCTTTGCTGAATCACCGTAACAGCCCCATATCATTGATCTCTAATTACCTTTCAAAGCCACCCATCATCACACTAGGGGTTAGGGTTCCAACACAAGAATATGGGAGGGGCCACAAATTCAGTCTAGAACAGATATGCTGAAAACCTTGGGTTCAGTCATTAATGAAACTTCTTCCAAAATTCCTAGGTTACCTGGGAAACAATAGCACGTTTTAACTACTGCAGGCATTAATTCATTAAGAAGGTGTAGTTTCACGTGGACAGTAAGACCCCAAAACAGACATGGCACAGGGAAAGTGATTTTTAAGGACATACTCAGGTTCAGGCGTTCGGCCCAGCAGTGCTACACCCTGCTGGAGATGCCCACATCCTGTGTCAGAGCTCCTGGTTCGTATCCTGGCTACACTGCTTCCCGGGCAGCTTTCTGCTAATGCACACCCCAGGGGGCACCAGATGGTGACTCAAGTGCTTGGATCTCTGCCACTCACGTGGGAGACCTGGGTGGAGTTCTAGACCAGCTTCAGCTTGAACTGTTAGAGACATACGGGGATAAGCCCTCTTCCTCTCCCCTTCCCCTCCTTCCTCCTCCCTCCCCCCCCCAACACCTGTCTTTCAGATGTATTAACAAATTAATTTTTTAAGGACACTTTCACAGGAAATGGGAGATTCTGTCTCAGAAGGCTGAGGTGGGACGTGAGTGCCAAAGCAGTGTTTCTGAGAATTCAGCGTCACCTGGAGTGCTGTGGCAATGCAGATTCTGATTCTGAGGTCTGGGGCAAAGGGGACTGAGACTCTGTCTAACGAGCTGTGGATCCACAGACCACACGCCGAGTGGAGCAGGGGGAGCAAGCAGTTCAAGTAGCCAGGGACCTCCAAGCCCGTGGTATGTGAAAGGAGAGTTTGGCCATTTCATACTGAAAGGTTTGCTTGGACTCAAGGATCCAACACCATCACCAAAGGCTGGCTTCCAAAACGTCATTTAGAAGAGAAGAGCTTCAGAAACTCCAATCCCTGAACTCTGTTGCTCCCAGCTAAAAAAAAATAATAATAATTTGATAAACACCAGAAATTAGTATAAATGATTCTTTGCAGGAGTCTGCAAAATCACTCCACAGAGGCCCTAATTCCTCAGTCTTCTCACAGCATCTCTAGTCCAAACGAAATACCCAATCACTCTTCATTACAAAGTAGGGTCGCACAACTTCATGGGATTTTTATTTTGTCCTAACCACTTAGTACTCATTTGGGAAAAAAATAACACACATAAAAATATCTTTTTTATTTCATCCTTAAATAGCTACACTTACTAGGATGTGTGCTTCCAGCAGGCACTGTACTTTTTTTTTGTGTGTGTGTGACAGGTGGAGTTAGACAGTGAGAGAGAGAGACAGAGAGAAAGGTCTTCCTTCCGTTGGTTCACCCCCCAAATGGCTGCTATAGCTGGTGGAAGCCAGGAGCCAGGTGCTTCCTCCTGGTCTCCTGTGCGGGTGCAGGGCCCAAGCACTTGGGCTATCCTCCACTGCCCTCCCGGGACACAGCAGAGAGCTGGACTGGAAGAGGAGCAACTGGGACAGAACCGGCGCCCCAACTGGGGCTAGAACCCTGGGTGCCGGCGCCACAGGCAGAGGATTAGCCGAGTGAGCCTAGTGAGCCGCGGTGCCAGCCATGTACTACTTTTCAAACTGTGGAGCCAAGTTGGCTTATTTCTCTTTACACAGTGCTATTACTGCAGTAATTGTCACTCATCACAACAATTATCAAGAACTCAGCTTCAAAAATATCTGACACCACGGAAAGGAGTGCAGTACAATTTATTAAAGAACTTGGGTCTACTTGGGCTAGTAGTTATGTGATGTCCAGTAAATGCTGAATATCTTCATAAAACTCTCAAACACCAAAAAACCTTCAAGACACTCCAAGGTATCATGGTTGAGTCAGAGACCTGGGGGTTGTACCCTTTATAAAACACTAACGGTGACCATATTCTAAAAGAAGAGAGAAACTTCTGCAAACAGACAGCTACAAACCATGCGGCACAATTTTCCTTAGATATTAGAGAGAAATCAGTTATTCTCTGGCTTGTCAAAACAAGACACAGCCTCCTTAAATTAATGCCAGGATTCTTAAACTGTTCTGATCTTTTGAAGGAAAATTATCTTCCTAATATTTTTCTAGTAACAATATATCACTTTCTGATGAGAAAGACTTAGCATTTACTGTTTTTGTTTTCTTATATTCACCTCTGTTTCCTTGACTTTAGCTTCCAAATGAATAAAAGGAACAATTTTGAACATTCATGCCTCACCAAGAAAAAAAAAAAAAAAAACCTTGATTCAAAGTTTTACTTTATATACCTACAATTTCCCAGTAGTCCTATTTCTCAATCAGAATTTGAATAATCTTTACAACTTGTATTCCCCCCAAACTCACATTTAATGACTCAGTAG